ATATATATATATATATATATATATATATATATATACAGTAGTCCCTCACTACTTCTCAGTTCATTTATCGTGGACTTGTGGTTATTGTGGTTTTTCAAAATAAGACTGGACATGACACACAATTGGCTGATTGATGGATGAGTTGCACGATCGGCATGCCATTTTTATTTAAAATAAATTATTTAAAATTATTTAGCACCTGCTGTAACTGTGTGCAGCACACAGTGCAGGAGAAAGCAGCACATCAGATCTCCGCCCTGCAGAGGAGAAGTGGGCGTGGCCAAGAGCGCTGATAGGAGGCAGAGCGCAGAGATCATGACATGCTGTGCTCTTTTAGAGCATTTAGAGTTTAAAAAAATTGTTAGGGACATTGCAAGAGTGTGGGAAGGTTTTAAAACACCTTTATATATACCTGTATATAAATACATGATATATCTCATGTACCACATGAGATGGTAATGACAATAAAGTTTACTTGAACTTCAACTTGGACTACTGTATCCTTCACGGTTTTTCACTTTTCACTGGGGGGCGTGGTCCTAAACCCCTGTGATAAGTGAGGGACTGCTGTATTGCAAACTTGCTCTTTTGTTCTGAATCTGTTGCAGCCAGACAGTCAAACTGTCACTAAACTAAATATTCTGACGGATGTGAAATCACAGTTGGCTGTTAACGGCAGCATGGCCTCCATTATACAGCTCGCTCATCTGCATAGAGCTTTGTGTGATTCTGTATTGATATTGTGAACAAAGTGGCTCACGGTGATGATCAATATCAGTATCAGAGCTGGAGTTAAGGATCGATGAGGCTCTGTAGTTTATTTTGGCCTCAGGTTCAAACCAGGCTGATTCTCATGATGTCTTAATGTTTTGATGATTTGCATCATCTTTGAAAAATCACACTTTAATCTCTGAAAACTGATTTCAAACAAGTGTAGTCTTATAAACTCGTATACTATTCATCCTATATTTATATTTCCGCAGAGCTAAAATGAAGTTACTGTAGAATAGTTTCACAGCTGCTGTTAAGAGACGGATCCTTGTTCCGTCTGATAGATTTTAAAACAAGAAATTGAAAACAATGGATTGCAAATTATTAAAATGTCATTTAAAAAAAATCTAATTCTATTTAATACTTTTGGATACAGAGCTTGGTTTTAAAAATTTACAGCTTACATTAAATCATTTTTGTATATTGGAGAAATTTATTTTACTTTTCTACAAACTTGACCTCATGGACTGACTTCTTCTGTTTTTAGTCTGATGTCAAATTTTGAACTTAGAACAGAATGCTGATGAATGTACTATCAATTTGTTAAATCATCAAATAAAATTCATATCTTTGTTCAAGCAAAAATCACTATTGTATGATTTACTACTTCACGGTTTCTATTAGACTCGTGTGTGATGTTTGAGTTCTTAACAAATGAATTAAATGTTGCTTTAAAAACACAAGATAACTTATTCAGTATATTGTATTTTCTATCTTCATACAAGTTAATATCTTTTTGAGATGACTCTGTGATTTACATTAAAATGAATGTGATATATTTAAAAGAGACAAAAATAAAAACTCAATGTTGGTGAGGTTAAACTTTATTGAGGCACATTATTAAAGAGTTCATTAAAACTAATTCAGGGTTAAAACCAGACAGGAAGCGCTGCCTCTAAGTTAATTGGAGTGAGACACAACATACTGCAGCTTATGTGGACAGGAGGCAGGGTCTCACCACAGCAGAGCTGGGGGTGTAAGGTGATTTAACCACATTAGGTCACAGTTGCACTCTACTCTGAAGACCACAGTTATGTTCACAGGAAAAGTTCACATTTAGACAAACAGCTGCTTTCTGTCACAATGAAACAGCTAAAACACTGAAACTGTAACATTTAAGCTTCTATGCTTTGACTAAACTTCTACGGTTTGATCATTTTACAGTAGTTCACTACATGTACAGGTGCATCTACAAAAATTAGAATATTGTGAAAAAGTTCAGTTTCTCTTGGTCAATCATTTCAGAAAGTAAAACTCATACATTACATAGATTCATTACACAGAGTGACATATTTCAAACCTTTATTTCTTGTAATTTTATAATTATGGCTTACAAATATGAAAAAAAATAATAATAATTCAGTGTCTCAGAAAATCAAAATATTCCACAGCCAGCTTCTGGTACCTTTGCCAGTGTGGGCAGGAGCCAAGCCCCACTGGAAAATGAAACCAGCATATCCATAAAACTTGTCAGCAGAAGGAAGCATGAAGTCTCTAAAATGTCCTGGTAGATGCTGTGTGGACTTCAGAAAACACACTGGACCAGCACCAGCAGAGGACATGGACTCAAACCATCACAGACTGGAAACTTTACTCTGGACTTCTCCACATTTCCTCCACACTCTGGGACCTTGATTTTCAAATGACACAAACATTTATTTTCACCTAAAAAGAGGATGTTGGACCACTGAGCAACAGTCCAGTTCTTTGTCTCCTCAGCAGGTAAGACACTTTTGATGTTGTCTCTGGTTCAGGAGTGGCTGCACTTGAGGAATGAGACGTTTGTAGCTCATGTCCAGGAGTTAATCAGCTGATCAGGGTGAGACACCAGGAGTTTATAATATTGAATCTCGTCACAATATTCTAATTTTCTGAGATGTACCTGTAGCTGAGATCTATGGAAGCGTAGAGCTGTCACAAGAAGTAAAATTATTTTTGAGCTGTATCTCGCAAGGGCGTCAGAAGCATCTGTAATGTGGGGGGGACACAATGATGTGTGTAGGTGTGTGTGTGCACGTGCGAAAAAAAATGTGTACACTAGTTTATAAAAAAGCAGCATTTCACCTAGATTTCCTTTAATTCCACACATTTAAATCATGTTTCTCACCAAGTTTGTGTAAATTCAGCTGTGGGTTTTAAACACATTTTAACTTTAATCCACTTTAATACAGAGCGTCAGGTCGGCACTATTTGTCTTTATTGTGAAATAAAAAACATCACCACTGGACTTTTTTACTTGTGTTCAACACGACTCACCTAAATGTTTTTTCTCATGAAGCTTGAGGACAATAAGGTGTGGGGTTTTAAAGACATTTCAACTTTAATGCACCTGAACACACAGCGTCTCTTACACCTGCAGCGTCTTACAGCGTCACAGTTACTGCTAAGCTAACATGCTACAGACGTAGCGCTCCTCTCAAGCATCCTCCTAACATGAATATATGTTTATGATCACCCCCTCCCCCCACCACCTCCGGTCAACAACTGCCCGCACTAAGCTCGCTAAACTGGCGAGCGACCAACACAGAGGTATCTCCATCTCCTCCACCTGTGCGCATTTTCTGTCGAGCAGGAGGAGACGTAGAGGAGAAACAGTGAGTTGGAGGTAACAGGAAAACCTGGAGTGGAGTTTTAGTGGTTTGAGTATTCGCGTATTAATCAAGTGGAATGGATTTGTTCACGAAGAAAGAGAAACAGCACCGCCTGAACTAATGTTTCATAGTAAAAGTGTGTGTGTGTGTGTGTTTGTGTGTGTGTGTGTGGGGGGGGTCCAAATTAACGTTTTTTTAATGTGGGGGGGGGGACATGTCCCCTTCACATTATAATAGTTGCGACGCCTATGGTATCTCGTTATAACAAGAAAACTATATCGTTATAACGAGATACAACTCAAAAATAATTTTACTTCTTGTGACAGCTCTATGCTTCCATAGCGATCTTGTGTGTAATCATCAAAACTACAAGAAATAAAGACTAGAAATATTTCACACTGTGTAAGAATCTAATATGAGTTTCACTTTCTGAAATGATTGACCAAAAAAAATAATAATTTACAACTTTGTCACAATAGTCTTTTCTGAGATGCACCTGTAGCTGACGTATTTCTTTTTCATTCTGCAGTGCTATAAATGTGTTGATACATTTGTTTTCAAAGACCAGTTACACGTATTTTTTATTCTGACACATTAAAGCACGCAACGCCATCAGCTGCACTGTCAAGGATGAGGTGGGGGTTTGCATAATTTGTTATTGGGCAAAACATCTCATAAACCACTGGACATATTTTAATGAAACCCTCAGTAAGGAATGTGGAGTTGGGGGTGGGCGAGCATTTTTTGCCTGTCACCTTGGACAAGCAAAAAATAAAGAGAGAGAATAAAACTACCTGTTCTTCTCCACAGTGTTACTCTTACCCACTTGAATGTCTTGGAACTAAAACGTTAAGGTTTTCTTGCATTCCCAGAAAAGCCCTCATCTTGAAAACTAAAAATATTCACTAATCAAATCCCTGAACGATGGGGGACATCGGCGTACCGCTTGTTTTTTCTGCTTTTCAACTAATTTAACAATCTTCATGCTCTAGTTCCATTATTACCAGATATTCCTCAGAGTAGCTTCAGGATCTCATCAAACGCACAGAAAAACAACCTTTGTCTTGTTTTTAGTTCGTTTTAAGGAGCTCAGACATTATTGCTGTATTAGTGAGTCATTTTGTCTACTTTAAAAGCTCACTATACTTCTACTGTATTTTTGAAATTCAGTTGGATCCCAAAGCAGAAACTTTCAGTATCCAGAAGATGGAGGCTGGTACTCTGTCACTCTGACAGACTGAGATTTACTTTAAAATGAATAATTTACATCAACTCAGTGTGAAGTGGCATACATAGTAAATATGACTGTTTTGAACTCCACAGATCTGCAGGTTAGTCATTAGGATATTTGTAGTTGCTGGTAATATTCATGGCTTCAGCTCCTAAAGGTAACTTGTCGCTGTACTCAGAGCCCACCTCACAGTCTTCTGGGTTATACCTGCAGTGAGACATAGATACAGACTCCGTCACAACACTCTCCTCTGTATCGGCCTCTTTCTCCGCATCGTTTGCGCTCTCCGTAGTCCCATCCTCTTCAGTGATCTTCTTCCGAGACTCAGTGCGCAGCGACAAGGTTAAGTTCAGGTTCCTCTCTGTATGGTACTGGTCTTTGGCCTTTAGGATCAACTTGTAGGTCTTGCTTCGGTACTTATACACCAGGTGGAAGCATGTTGCGCCGAGCAGAGGCACGGTGGACACCGTGAGGAGGCAGATGCTGACAGAGATGATAATCAGCAGGTTTGGGACCCTCTTTCTGGTAGCAAATAGGACTTGGACCTCACAGTCTTCCCCTCTGTAGGTCAGACACAGGGAGTAGTTGGTGCCAGGTTGTAAACCACTGAACAGATACGCGTTGATGCCTTCCTTGATTTGGGACCACTGCACGGCAGAGTGTTTGCCATCTACAGCGATGCACAGATACAAACCGTTTGAATGAACTTTATTGAAGACATCAGGGAAGTCAACGCTCTCCTCACTGTCAGTCTGAAAGCTGTTGGATGTGGTAGGGGCACCTTGGTTGGTGCTCCTGTCTTTGGGTACTAAGAGAGGACTGAGATGCACCGTTGCTTCTGTTTCTGACACACCTAAAGCTATGACACCAAAGTCAAACACGTACTGCTTCATGTCATCCAGGCTCTCGTTGAGGACATGATTGGAGAGGTTCTTGGTGTTCGCTGTCAAGCCACATTTACTGGATCGTGACAGAACTCTTGCTTCTTCAAAATATTTGGACATGATGCTTTCTGTAGTGGGAGCCAAGGTGGGTATGTCTATCTGAGTGTCTTTTCTATTTGAATCAAAATCAAAAAGGGACATGTTGTCTGTTTGTTTGCGTCTAGAGGGGTTTGTTTTTGTGAAAGTGAATATTGTGGTCATTAGTTTTATGGGTTTTGGTTTTGGACGTGGTATCACTTTCACAAACACCGTATCCTCAGCTCTACCTATCTCATTTGTGGCAAAGCAGCTGTAGTTTCCGGCATCTTCTTGCCTGATGTTTGAAATAAAAAGAGTCCCGTTATTAAAGACTTGAACAGAGTTTTCAGAGTTCTCATTAGACCCTGCAGATGTCTCTTCACTGACGGACAAAACCACCTCCTGCTTCTGTCTTTTGCTGTGAATGTTCCATATCACAACTGGCTTTGGGTTTCCTTTAAACTCACAAGTCAGAACCAGCGCACCGTCCTCATAGAGACTTGCCATATGAGTATTTGGCTCAGTTTGTATTGTCACATTTGGGCTTGTGCACTTTGACGTAGGCAGTTTTACAATTAGTTCCCCTTTGAGCTTTTCAGGAGTTGCACAACTGATCAAGCTCTGATCCAGAACCGGGACGATAGTTGTTAAAATCCAGTCTCGAAGCCAGTCCAAGGAACAGGTACATGCAAAAGGATTGTTGTAAATTTGCACATGTGACAAAGATACCAAACCGTCAAACGTTCCTTCAGCTAAAGTTACAAACTCGTTATCGTTGAGTCGAAGGGACCTCAGGTCTTTGAGGTTGGAGAAGGCATCTCTGGGCAGGTTGGACATCTTGTTGTGATTCATCTTCAGGAGCTGCAGAGCTGGGAGCTTCTGCAGATCCCCCCAGGGGAAGTCTACAATTCCATTGTGGCTGATGTCAAAATTGCGCAGATGAACCAATGGTACGAGGCTCCCTTGTTGGATGGAGACAATCTCGTTGTAGGCCATCCACAGAGACGTCACCTTGGTCACATTATCAAAGCTGCCCAGCGGTATTACACTGATCCGGTTAGAGGACAGACTCAGAGTCGTAACATTTGCAGGTAAACCACCTGGGACTTCAGCTAAGTGTTTGTTGGAGCATTCAACGAAGTGCCGACCATGTTTATCTGAGCAGACGCACAGCTCAGGGCAGCTGAGTCCAGCAGAGACGATGGTGGACGTCAAAAAAATTAAAACAATGATGTTTGCAGCAGCCATGTTGGTTCCTGTAAAACAGAGTTTGTTTAGAAATCAACACATCAAGAATTATTTTTTATTCTAGAGAAAGACAAAAGTAAAGTTTAAAAATGAAAGGTGACATTTATTTAAAAAGGGATAATAAGAACTTTATGAATTTCACAATAAATCTTGTTTTACTAACCTGATTACATAAATATATATATATATATTACAGATTGTATGAAATGCCACATTTTAATAAAAACATGCAAAATTTCATGTTAAAAAGTAATGTGTATTTCTCGAATTGAGTTATGAACTTGGGATGAATACAGATTCTAAAATCCTGCCACAAGTTGTGATGTGAAAGGTTTTGGTCAAGAACATCTTTGTTTTCAGAATAAAAACTGAATCCACATGCATAAATATCAGATTTAATTCATTCATCCATCCATCCATTTTCTTTACCCGTTTATTCCATTTTGGGTCACGGGGGTCGCTGGTGCCCATGTCCAGCAATCACTGTGAGAGGGGCGGGGTACACCCTGGACGGGTCTCCAGTCCATCACAGGGCCACATAGAGACAAACGAGACAAACAACCATTCACTCTCTCACTCACACCTAGGGACAATTTAGAGTTACCAATCAGACTAACACGCATGTTTTTGGACTGTGGGAGGAAACCGGAGTACCCGGAGAAAACCCACGCATGCACGGAGAGAACATGCAAACTCCACCCAGAAAGGCCCCTGGACC